TCATTTACCTCAGACATATGTACCTTTGTTTATATATTTTAGACATGTACTACTGTTGGTATTATGTACATATAAGGTACCGAAACTTATTATTTGAAAATATAGACCAAGGAAAAGATTGAAATAATTCATGACCCAAAAAAACATTTTAAAAATTATTTTACTTTAGTATCAGTATAAAATCTTTTTCTCTTCTCATTAAAAATGTTATTAATAATTATTTTTAGTGAGAGTAACATGCATAGGCTTCATTTTTGTTTTTTAATCTGGGCTAATTGCTTTGAAACACAGTGATTCAGAGATCTTGTATGTTCAGTTTCATTTGATAAAGGCGCTAAATGGCTTTCCCACTATCATATCGGCAAAGTTTTTTGCTGAAATTCAGTTGAAAATGCCAATTTCCCTCTTGTCAAAGCTTGCAAACTGCTAACCTGTTCTTCTGGTTTTATGTTTATGAAATGGGTTCAAAACTCACAGAAGCTCTTCCTTAGAATGTTTTTAAAATCGATTAGAACATTATGCTTCCAAATGTTGCAAGTGCACCTGCATGAGAGGTTTTGGAGCTGTCAAACTTATACAATTTTTGGCATGACAATCTTTTGAAAAGCAATTACTTTCTCATCCACTTATACAATTTCACTTTCACCTTGAAGAAATAAAAAAGTGTGTTTGGTTTTTGACAGGAATGGGTCTGCAGCATGCTATTGACAGACTCTTCCAACAGAAAAAGGTCAGCAAACAGGTATCACTTCCCGTTTAGTAAAAGAAAATGGTGTAGCTGCTGTTTTAATTCAACTTGTTAAACTCATCTCTTTGAATTCAGCTCTTTTAAGCTCACTCATTGAATCACAGAATCACAGAATGGTTTGGGTTAAAGGGGCCTTAAAGACCATCCAGTTCCAGCCCCCTGCCATAGGCAGGGACACCTTCCTGTAGACCAGGCCCCATTCAAAGCCCCATTCAGCACTGAGCCTGAGCCTCGTGCCGCAAGGTAACCAGCAAATGTCTGTGTGATATGTGTAGGGTTGGTGGGCAAGGTTTTGGCAGTGGGGAGGCTGCAGGGGTGGCTTGTGTGAGAAGAGATCAGAACATGCCCCTGTGTCACACAGAACTTTATGAAATGGGTTCAAAACTCACAGAAGCTCTTCCTTAGAATGTTTTTAAAATCGATTAGAACATTATGCTTCCAAATGTTGCAAGTGCACCTGCATGAGGCAATTAGGAGCTCATCCACTTATACAATTTCACTTTCACCTTGAAGAAATAAAAAAGTGTGTTTGGTTTTTGACAGGAATGGGTCTGCAGCATGCTATTGACAGACTCTTCCAACAGAAAAAGGTCAGCAAACAGGTATCACTTCCCGTTTAGTAAAAGAAAATGGTGTAGCTGCTGTTTTAATTCAACTTGTTAAACTCATCTCTTTGAATTCAGCTCTTTTAAGCTCACTCATTGAATCACAGAATCACAGAATGGTTTGGGTTAAAGGGGCCTTAAAGACCATCTAGTTCCAGCCCCCTGCCATAGGCAGGGACACCTTCCTGTAGACCAGGCCCCATTCAAAGCCCCATTCAGCACTGAGCCTGAGCCTCGTGCCGCAAGGTAACCAGCAAATGTCTGTGTGATATGTGTAGGGTTGGTGGGCAAGGTTTTGGCAGTGGGGAGGCTGCAGGGGTGGCTTGTGTGAGAAGAGATCAGAACATGCCCCTGTGTCACACAGAACCAGACCCAGTTACCCCCAAAAGGAATCCACCATTGGCCAAGGCTCTGCCCACCAGTGGTGCCGGTGACATCTCTGTGACAACTCATTTAATGAAGGGTAAAGCCCAGTGCCCAGCAACTGTGAGTGAGAGGACAGAGAGAGAATATGTGAGAGAAACAGCCTTGCAGACAGCCAGGTCAGTGAGGAAGGAAGGGGACAAGATGCTCCAGGCACTAAAGCAGATCTTCTCGTGCTTTCCCTGGAGAGGACCACACTGATGTAGACTGTGACCCTGCAGGCTCTGTCAGACCACACTGCAGCAGATATCCAAAGTGCAGCCTGAGCAGTTTGTCCCTGGCAGCAGGTGGTTGTGCCCTGAAGGAAGCTGCATCCTGTGGAGATACCACCATGGACAAGGCTCGTGGCAGGAGCTGCAGCCTGTGGGGATCCCATGCTGAAGCACTTTGTTCCTGGAAGATTGCACCTTGTGGAGAGGATCCCCTCTGCAGTCCCCATTCCCTGTTCCCCTGCCCTGCTCAGGGAGGGAGGAGATGGAAGAGTGAAGAGGCAGGGGTGGGGGCTGGGGGGGGGGGAAGGTTTCTGGTTTTGTTCTTTTTTTCTCACTCCCTAGTCTCTTATTGATTGGAAATAAATTCAGTTATTTTGCCCATGTTGAAGGAATCCCCACAAGGCAAGGCAAAGACAGTGCGGTCACTGTCAGGCCTGCAGTCCACCCACAATGTGGTCAAGGACAGCAGATAACTTGGTGAGAACAATTAGGGACATCCACAAGTCCAGGGATTGCCAGTCATATCCACAGTGATAAGACATGCCCAGGATCAAGCCAGTAATTCCAGTCTGCAGGCCAGGATCAGTATCCAAGTGAGCAAAGCAGGTGGAAAGGCCCAGGCAAAGCTGCAGCACAGCTCGAGGAGAGACAAAGGTTGACCATCAAGCTTAGAAGCAGCTCCTGAATGTAGAGGGGTCAAAGCCCCACTGAGGCTTCCCTCAGCAATTTGCTAAAAGGCCAGTCAGGTGGACTGTGGAAGTTGGCTCTGGAACAAGGCAGCCAAACCCCCAAAAGCAAGGCCTTACTTTCACCAGAAAGTCCAATCACAGCTTTTTGTCTTCCCCTGTCCCCACACACACAGAAAAGCAGTACAGCTGGCACACTGATTTTGCCTTTTTTTTTTAAATCCTGCTGTGATGGGCACTGAAAATAGACAGCATTGCATGTTGTCCTGAATTTCAATGATGAAAATTCCAGGCATGCTTATGGGACTGCAAATCAGAGAAGGATCCTGTAGTGATCTCTCATGTCGATATTTGCAATTCCTGCCTTGAGCTAAGGACTCTAATCAGATTAGTGGGGTTTTTTTATTGGAAAAGGAAATGCTTTAGAATATAAATTTGTTCTTCTGTCTTTCTCTGATTTTCTCACTGATTATTGTTTTCATCATTAAATTGCAGAAACCCAGAAGTGTACCTTTAACAGAAAAGGACTTTGTTTCCAATGCTGGCCTTACTGTTTTATGCTACATGTAAGCAGTTCCCTAGAAATTTTGTGGGTTTTTTTTTTTTTCCCCCTGGATGCTCCATGGAAAGAGGTCCTGGACAAGAAGATTTTCATGATGTCCTTCTGGCAGTGTTAGGGGATGATGAGCTTTGAATTATCTTTTATTTCTGGTTTGATCCACTGTAAAAGACTTGAAATGAGCAGCAAGAGTTTCTGAGTAGCATTGGTGCGTATGCCAATAACTCATATGTTCTGGAAGGGTCAGAGTCCATGACTTTTAAATTTTTTTCAGGTTGCTATATGGTTAGTTAAGATGTGGGAATTGAACCAATTTCCATCCTATGGAAAAACAGACAAAAAGAAAAAAATGGCTTCATTCAAACAAGATGTGTGATATCAGAGGATCACAACTGCTGTAATTCTCATCTTCTTAGTGGTTCAGAGGCTGTTCCTTTTGTTTCCCAGAAAAAAAATTTATCAAATTTATTTACTAACTTATCCAGTATAACTCAGAGATTTAGTAGATGGTGTATATAAGGCATATTAAAGATATTTTTATTCATGTGATAATAATTAGTTAGGTGGTCCGTTACAGAAAGGAATATATAGCAGGAGACTGGCCCTATGAGGTGCTTTCCAATATCTTTGTCAGTGTTCCCTCTTAGAACCTCAAATTGATGTAAATGGACTGGTAAATACTTGATTTAATTTTATGGAAAGGAGGCTTTGGAGGGAAAATGTACTTAAAGAGGCAGGAAAATAGCACATGCTTTTGAATCCCGTGTGCATGAGCAATGTGGAATAAGGGAACACAAACCAAATTGTGTGAGAGCAGCTGTTCAGGGTGTTCCTGCTGAGCAGCCGTGTGCCTCAGAGCTCAGCCAGGAGCAGGACAGCACACACGGATTGTGGGCTGAGCACAGCCCACGTGTTTTTCTTGTTGGTGTGGGCAGAGAGCACTGAGGTTTGTTCCTGAAGGCCGGTGAGGGGAGAGCAGGGAAGGGCAGAGCATGGACCAACCCTCCCATCACGGGTGTCTCATGGTGCTGGGCTGGGAACCAGCATGGTGACAGTGCCTGGTGCTGGCAATGGCATGCCAGGGTGTCATTGCCATGTGCTCAACTTTCTGCATGTCTGTTAAATGGCGTAAAAAATGTTCATGGAAGCCAGTGCTGTCACCTGTGGCACAGTTTCTGTCATGAGGGGAAAGGAAGAGTCCATCTCAAGTTATCCTTTGACTTGGTATTTTTTAATTTGTAAAATAAACCAATTCAGGCACAGACTCAGATCAGTTACAGATACATTGCTTCAAAGAGATTGACAACATCCAAACCAGACACATTGAATCAGGATGGGCTTAGTGAACAGAAGGCTCAAGTCATGTATGTTTCTGTGACAGTTACTTTAGAAGTGAATAAACTCTCACTGCAGCTGGAAAGGCTCCCAAAACTCCAGTTCTGATGTAAGTACTTCAGGAAGAGCAGAAGAAGATCAGAAGGCTGTTTTGTTCTTTACTGAATCGTACAGGAATCTGAGTCTTGGCCTTGTTTTTCTCTTGTTTCAGAGAAACTGTGGCAATTTCCAAGAAAAGAGTAGCAAATAGGAGACAACTTACAAAATTTTCAAAACAAAACTCACATTCAAGTAAAGCAAATTTTCACTCTTCTTCATCATTCCAGATCAAGGCCCTAAAGTATTAATTCCAGTGCCTATATTTTTTATCTCTGACAACTTCATTTTAATTAATTTGGATCTAAACTAGAAATTACAGGCTGTCATAATCCTTTACATTGATATAGTTCTGACAGGACATTTAGTGTGGTGCCACATCCTAGCTGGCAGCTCTTGAAATTTGGGATAGCTCCAAATTAAAACCATTGTGTGTCCTGTAGGACAGGCAGCCAATATAACTCTACACATGGATTCCTTATCACTTAAAGGTGAAAAAACTCTGGAGTAGAGGAGAAGCAAACAAATAAAATATGTAATGTAGAATATAAAGAAGGAACAGACTGACTTGATGACTTTCCTGTGGGTCTCTAAGCTGGGATCCCTGAAGCCACTTGCATTACTTTGCATCCGTCTGGTGTGTATCCACAGAGACCGAATCAGCAGAACACTGGAAACAACAGACAGTATTAAAGGCAAAGCTGTACTTGTATTCCAGAGATAAATCAATAAAGTCAAACTGTCATCCCCTGTGGTTCTCACTGATGAAGAATTTGTCATGGATGAAGGAGCAGTGATGTTCTCATGCACACTGTAGACGTCCCAGGCAAAGGAAATTGCAGTTATGAAGGAGGAGAGCCATGATATGAGCAGCATCCAGGGCACCAGCCTGGCAATTCTTAGCTTCAGCCAGATGAAGAAAGACTGTGTAAAGCTGGCAACCTTGATACAATAGAAGACACTAAGCCAGGCTCCAAAACCAGAGGCTGCAGTAGCTCAGAAATGTAAAAATTGTCTTGGAAACTACGAACACATTTTCTTTATAAACAAAGGGTTCATAAGATAGACTTATTAAGAAATCCAGTGTAGTCCCTGACTGCAAAATGAATCTAGATGAACTCAGTGAGATCACAATCATGTCATATGGGGGCCATGTTTTGCTCCCAATGCAGCTTGTTGAAATGGCAGCCAAGATAATTCCATCTCCTAGAATTCCTGCCAGGGATTCAATTATACCAACTGGTAGACAAAGGAGAGCAAATGATGTCACCATTGTAACTCAAGAGCTTGCAATTATTACTCAGCTTCCACTGGGCTCCTGAAAGCCTCAGATCTGGCACTGCCAATCCCAAGGAGCTGTTATGGGCAGTGCTCACCTATTTATCTCAGGGGCAGAAGTATCCTAATGTCATTTAATATTTCTGCTATTTTAGATCTTGCTTTTGGGGTTGATGTCTCAGTTGATTTGTCTAAACATGCAAATTGGATAAAGATTTAATTGCATAATTTTCATTTTTGTGGAAGGATTTGCATTGTAAAGCTATGGAGCATCTCAACTGGGGTTTTTAGAACTGTGGGTCTGCACTTCAGTATCTGATGTCTTGCTTTACATGCCTAGATTTGGTTTTCTTAAAATATCTTATGCTTTAATCTCTCCCTGTCTTGTATTGTCATGTCTTAATTTATGAGAGTAATCTCTGTGGCCTCTTCTAATATTGAAGCAGGTCCTTATCAGATGTATTCAAATATCTGCCAATGGCTTGGTGGGCATGTGACAGCCAATCAAGGTCAACCCCCCACAAGTATCAAGGATTTTCATCATGGCTCCCCTGTCATTGCACGGCATGGTAAAGGTTCTAATATTTCAAGGCCTTGTTTTTATGTAATGAACCAAACTAATGACATCCTGTAGCACCTTTTGCAAGTCTGACTCCAGTTTCTTTTCTGTAATAACTCATCTATGAACATTGCAGTGAACAAATTCCAGGTGTAGTGATGGATATGTAATCTTACCACCCAATCCTTCTCTTATGCCAGTCAAAGCAGCTGCTCCACTGGTTTTTACACTTGCACAGCTCTTCCAGAAAATATTTTTATGAAATAACTAATTTACTGTTGAGAATACAGCTTCTGTGGTAAATCTTCCCTTCAGTGGCTTACAGAAGGTAGCTCTTCATTTATTTCACTACTGAAACAGAATTCATCAAACATCTTAATCTGAGGCATTTTAGAAACATTTGTACTTTCATCCATCCACTAAGTAATCCTCTTCCACTATGTAATTCGTGCTGATACTTGTCTCTTCAAACCTTCAGCAGTATTTTTATGTATCTTCTACCAGTGTTTGCTGACAACAGAATCCATTTTAGTTTGCTGCTCTATTGCTTTCTGTGTATTATCCCAGCCATTTTTACTTTTTATGACAGGAAGAATAGGTGTTTCTCTGGTGCTATGTGACATTTTTTTCTTTTGCTGTGAAGCAAGAAACCTCAAAGGAGGCTTCTCTACACATTTGTCATTAAGTTTGGTAAAATTTTGTAAAGTAGTGAATTGAATCATGTGGCTTGAAATACGGCTGAAAAAATTGTAAGGATTCATCTCTGTGCTCTGGATGCTTAGATTTTAAATACCTTGGTAATTCTCATGGCTTCATACTGACATTAGCTAAATTTTCAAGCATTTTCAAAGTAAAAATTTCAAGTACTCCTGTCTATGTGATCTGCATGGCCATCTGTGTGCTTGAGTAGTGTTTCTATAGACCACAGAATGATACAATCATAGAATGGTTTGGATTGGAAGGGACCTTACAGATCATCTAGTTCCAACCTCCCCACCACAGGCAGGGATACCTGCCCAAGGAGTATTTTCTCAGCCTCACTCCCTAGATTGACTTCAAGAAAACAGAGCTGTAACATCCACACATCATCAGGACAATGGATTCAACCACTTGCAGCAATACTACCCATACATGACAGAATCTAATTAAGTAGAATAGCAAGTATAGATGTAAACAAATATCATAAATACCAACTCTGCGGGAGATGTTTCAATAGGATAGATTAGACATTTAATGAAATTATGTAACATTGGAACAATGTCTGTTTGTAGTTATTAACATACTACAGTACCCTCCTAATGTTGTACAATTAGAGAATCGGACACAGTTTGCAGTCAGCAAATTGCTTACAGAAATAATTCTAAATTTAGGGTTATTACTAAATTGCAATTCATCCCATATGCAACAAACTGCAGAACTTGCCGTTTTTTCATGCAACTTTATATTATCCTGGTAAGCCACACCAGGGAATGACCTTTGTTTCCATGGTTAAGAGATCCAGTGTGACTCATGTGCCTCTACTCACTGCAGACCTCAAAAGCCAAGCGAAGCCTACCCTATCTGGCAATGGGCTGACAGTCTGAGTGACACTGCTGCCATTCCAGCTGCTGGATTTGATTCTGCTGCTGTATTCTCAATTATGCTCATGCTCAGGAATTATCTAGAAAATACTGGAGCAATCTTTTTCTCTAGGAGGGGTCAAAGGAAGCTGCTGGTGGGTAGATAACTCCTTCACCCTACGAAAAATGACTGTCCAGTTCCGGGGATTGTATTGTGCTGTCCAATTTGGTGGAACAACAGGAAGTGACACATTTTGACCTGAAAAAGGTCAGTTTAAGTAAGTAGAGATCTCATGCCTGTCACTGTTACCGTATCACATTCTGGTCACCAACACCTGAGAAGAAGGTGCTCCATTGCATTTTGCAGCCTTACTCCCTTGATGCTGATTGTCAGGCACTCAGTCTGAGTCCATGGCACAGATGGAGACAAAGGTCTCTCTGGCCATCTCCCAGAATGTCTATCCATAAGTCAAAATCAACATGAGAGATCAGATGGGTGCTAGCTGAACCTGAACAGCCCATCCTCATGGAGTCAACTAACAAAATATATACATATCCCCATACACAGTTTATAGAAAGGCTACGATAGAAGCCTAGCAGTCAACTATTTCAAAGGCTGCTCAACACCCTGTAAGCCCACAAGGGAGAATTACGGCTGAAGCATAGATTACAATGGTCATGTCAAGGAGCAGCAGGAGGAGCTGTTCCATAAGGAAATGAGATCCAAAAAGCCAGCACCAGCACAAGGCAGCTAAGGATAGGACTGTCAAGCATGCAGTCCCACCTCCTATAGGCAAGGATAGCAGAGAAGCTCTGTAATGGGTCAGCCAGCCGTCCAGTCATACCAGATGTGTCCATAGTGATACAACATGTCCAAGATCAAGCCAGTAATTCCAGTTTGTAGACCACGATCAGTATCCAGGTCAGCTAGGCAGGCGGAAAGACTCAGGCAAAGCTGCAGCACAGATCAGTGAGAGAGCAAGGATGAGCACCCAGCTTAGAAGCAGCTCCTGAAATGAGAGGGGGCTGAGCCATGCTGAGGCATCTCCCAGCAATTTGCTTTAAGGTCAGTCAGTTGTGCTGTGGAAGTTGACACTGAAACTCAGCAGCCAAAAACCCCAAAAGCAGTGCAGAGCCCCTAACCATATTCATATTCATCATATCAGTACCTGGGAACTTTATCAATGAGTCCACCCCAGTCCCGCCTTTTTATCGTCTGGTGGTAAAACTAATTATATCAGCAGTATTCAACACAATTCCAAGGGCTTGACAAAGAAATCAGAATTAACTACCACAGTAGATGGGTAGATAAGTATATAAAAAAGTTCAGTAAATATCTAGAGAATAAGTATACAATGTACAGCACTCTAATCTGGTTTACCAGGAGCACAGCCAGTAGATTAAGGAAAGTGATTATCTTCCTCAACACTTTTTTAAGGTGGTATCTGGACTATTGCATCCAGTATTTGGGGGGAATTTTATTTTTCTGATGACTGGACATTACTAAATTTACACACAACAGCAGGCTTTGGCTGACCACAAAGTTCTGGAAAACAGATTCAGAATTCCAAATCATTTTGGCAAGCTGGAGATGCAGTCTGATAAAATAGGGACAAATGTTTACAGATATGAATAAACACATGCATATATAAATTTGTGATGAAAGCTGTAATAAAAATAGATGCCATGCTGGGAGATGCAACCAAAAATTTTTGTTTGTTGCATAAATTAAGGCATTGTACTCTTGTATGTAGCTCTAATAAAGTTGTATTGCAGAACTATAAAACCTGGAAACAACAGTCTTTTTTAGTTTAGAAAGAAGAAATCTGCCAAAGGTCTAACAAGCATGCAAAAATAACTCTGAAGATACAGGAATAAACTTTCTTAAATTGCATTGTGGAGAGGGAAAGAGGTGGCTGGTTTCATAATTACAAAGCCAGATCCTTTTTACAATTAGTGTTAAAACTTACAGGAAAAAGAATCATGTATATTTTCATTGCAAACTTTTTAAAAGAGTTGGAACAAGAAGCTTCTGGAGAGTCACAGGGGAAGCTGATCTTGCCTTGGAGAAGAGAAATGAATGAATGCAAAGCTTATTCATCTAACTATATAGAAATCTACTAAAAATACATTTGTTTTCATTTCATCACTCTGGGAGAAAATGTCTCCCAACTAATTTGGCTGTTCAATGAACCAAAGTGTTTGGTACTTAATAATACCTCATAGTGACACAGGAGATTATTTAGTTCAATTCAAAATATGCCATGTTGCTGGCCAGATGGAAACAACTCCACTTGACAGAGGCACTGGCAAGTTCCCTGATGACTCAAAACCACATATTACAACAGAATCAAAGATATGAATGGAACCTGAAATCTCCAGAATTCTAAGTTTAAGCCTTAACTTCTGAAACATACTGCAATAACTGGAGATACTGAGGAGGATGAAAAGGGTAAGAAGAGGAGAGGTAAAATGAAATTGTGGTGGAAATACAGAAGAAAGAATTCTTCTGTATTCTGGGTTCTGCTCAGAATAGATGAGGCAATTTTAAATTTTTTAATTTTTTTTTTTTTTTTATTTCACAAGCATTACTTTGTGATATGGCAAAGTATATTAAGAGCTTTAGTATGTAAGTTTGATCTAAACCCCAAATGAGGACAGCAGATTTAGGGGCTGAACTAAAGAGAATTATTGTGACTGATGAAACTTCACTGTCTGGTGCACAGATGTAACTAATGGTAGATATTATGGATGTACTTCTAACAAAAAATATTTAAAAACATTGTCTTGCTGATACCTTCTAAAGTATTTTGAACGGCCATGAAATTCATATAGTTTTGAATTTAGCTGTAAATGCTATGCTTCCATATAGTTCCT